ATTGAAAACAGCCCAAATACTTCTTTGCAGATGAAGTATTTGATCCTCACCACAGGTTGTGATGATAACTGAAATGTATTAGGTGGGTTCAAGAAAAGAGAAGATCAAAATACTGAATTACTGATAGATAAATGGCCTATCTGTTCTCAAATGGGTCACAACCTAAACGATTCTAAGCTAGGGCATGTTGTTGCATTCATTGCCATGCTATCAGAAGGAGACTTGACTAATCCCAAAAGGCATAAGAAGATTTTCAGTTAAAACTATTAGTCTGCTTCCTAAAGAAATGGTCTTCCTTCACCATGATCACCATGGCCAGGACTAATCCAATCCAGAAAGGCAATCTTGGTGTTGTATTCCATGCCCTCAAATTAATGTATTTTAGAGTTTTACAAAGTATATTTAACCTACACTTATGACATCTATGAAAATCAAAGCAAAAGTATGTGTCAAGTCACTGGATTCTCACACCAGCTGATAGAAAAAGAAAATTGCAGGTAGTTCATGTTGGAGAGCTATCTATGAAGTCTATCCCAAACTTTCCTAGGGAAGAGATACTTAGTTTAGATAGTCTATCCCATACTACTTGTCATTATAAACTTCCAAATCTTCCATTTTTTTAACCTCAGTAATTTAGAAAGTAGTGATATACAAACAGTCTACACCCATTCCATGCTAATTATTAGCCTTACATCTCACAAATTGCTACATTGTTCTGGAGTGAGGATTTTTTAAAACGCAAAAAAATATGCATCTATTTTTTTAAACACTCGCACCCGTCGTGTGAATCAACATCTCAGAATGTCTGTGAGTCGGGTGGCATATAAAATTGTTGTTGTTATTTTTGAATGCAGTTGGGTACACCTTTTTCTCCAATATACAGTCATATTTGAACATATACATAGCGCCAACTGTTTTGAAAAATATAAAGAAATGTGGTACTCGAAGAAATAACTGAATTCTGGTAGAAATTATCTGATAGATTGAATCTGAACTGTTAAAAAACCTGATATTCCTGTTAGAAACAAAGGAAGTTGCCTTATACAGTCTATTTTTACAAGAATTGTATTTTCAGGCTAACATATTCTCTTAGAGGTTTTTCTGCCTATCAGTCACCTGATCCTTTTCATTACAGGTTTGAAGTTAGCATGTCCTACATGTAGAGCATCTGCTATACTACTGAGCTAGGATCTCTTCAGTGTTGCTGAGAAAGGGCACTGGGTTATCTAATTATACTCACAACCTCCTCTCCCCCACTGTGAACCCCCACTCGTTCTTGAACAATCTTCATGATAATACAAAGAATAATCTTAGCTTAGATGTCTTGCCATTCCTGTAACATTCCAAAGGAAATATTTGAAGACACATGCTCATTTCATGTTTAGAGGCAAAATAGTTTTCTTAACTCGATATGTTCTCATTGAGATTGAGCCAACTGTTCATTGTTTGTGATTCACACTCTAACTCCAGGCTTAATATAATGATGTGGTGCATTATAAACATCATGTGGCTTTTCCTGCAGCCACTGAATATGAAGATGAATAGATCATAAGATTACCAGTTTCTTTAAAACAGTATCCACAAGCTAGCTGTGCCTATGGCTTAGTGTCTCTACTTAGTATTGAGCTATTAGCCTGACACTTGACATTTTCTGCCACTTATAAAAAAAAAAGTTCCAGTAATGCAGCTGGGCAATCAGAGCAACAGCTGAATTCGGAGGTAGAAAGCTAGTGGACACTGGTGTGCTTTCCAGAAGGTCCAGTTTCCATCCCTGGTGTTCCAACTGCTGGTGAAAGATTCATGTGTTAAACCATGGAAAGCGAGACAAATCCGAGCTACATGGATCAATGCTATGACATGGTATAAGGCAGCCTTTTATGACTCATTTTGTCTCCACTGTTATTATTTTTTTCCTGTGAGCATTAAATTAGCACATCTACTAATTTTTTCAGCTGAAAATGAAAGTCCAGAAGCTTTCAAAGAGAGGGCATCCTACTTAGGGCCTGATCCTCAGAGAGGCTTTGCCTCACTCCTAGGTAAAGATGTGGCTTCAGCAATGAAGTCATTAAAGACTTTCTCTACAAACCGCAAATCACCCTTTTGTCAGCAGAACAAACGATCAGTTCAGACCAATTACCCTGCTGAATTCACTGAGCCAAAATATATTGGGGCAAATACTTCTCACAGTGGCTTTGAAGTGCACTGGTAGAGAAATCTTCAGTCTTACCATAAATATTTCCTCCTGGAGACTGAAATTCTGAAATCTTCAAGTACTTCAAGAATTCACAGCACTTTTGTGAATTCAGTGCTGGAATTGGTCCTAAGAACATAAGAACAACACTGTTGGGTCAGACTGAGACACATCTTATTCCAGAAGTGTGTTTCTGCAGTGGCCAACCAAATGTCTCTAAGCCCTTGCAAACTGAAAATGAACACATATCAATCTGCTACCCTGTTGTTCTCCTGGAACTAGTTCTCCTGGTTTCCTCACCAGTAGTAGCCCCAGCCTGGTATTTAAATCTGGATATGAGTAGGCAGTGTCTTTCTCTCCTGCTGAACTCCCTCACAAAGCTCCCCTGTTTGCCTTCCTCCTTACAAAGCTCATGTATCCATGAACTGCTCAAGTTATATATACAAAGAAGTATCTCAATTATTGCCACAGAAAATAAGATGGAATTTTAAAGTTTGTGGTCAGACCATTTTCCTATGCCTCATTCTAGTATTAACGAGTATTCCTCCAACAGCATATTTAGCCAGGACTCTATTCTTCTACAAAAGCTGAGGTGAGGCACACAAGTTGAATTCCATAATCTTTCAAGTTATCTATTCAACATCTACTTTGAGCTTGAGCTCAGACATATTCAAGATAAAAGATCTTACATTGTATGACAAGAATGGAGAGCAATTGTGGTTGAAGAACCGTTAGTATTCCTTATTCTTACCTACGGGGTACAATTCTACAGTCCACTTCTAAGAACTGTTATTTAGTTAATCCTGATGAACCAGAAATTTCCCTTTTCCCTTTTATATGAGGTGCAACTCTATGGCTATCTTTGGATATCTTTTTTTTTTAGACTTTTTTATCCTACCTTTCTTATTTTTATAAATAACTCAAGGCGGCGAACATACCTAATATTCCTTCCTCCTCCTATTTTCCCCACAACAACAAGGTTGTGAGGTGAGTTGGGCTGAGAGAGAGTGATTGGCCCAAAGTCACCCAACCAGGTTTCATGCCTAAGGCAGGACTAGAACTCACAGTCTCCTGGTTTCTAGCCTGGTGTCTTAACCAGTAGACCAAACTAGCTCTACTTGCACCCTGTTCCAGTGCGAAAGAAGTACCATCAGGATCTTCTAATTTGCAGCTGACAGTGAGGTCCTCTGTAACCTGATGCCTTTTCCATTCTATCATAACATGAGTTCCTCCCTAACCTTCTGTCTCCTTCCATACCCTTAATGGCTGACTACAGCTGGTAGATCTGCCTAGAATTGCAATCACAATTAATAAGTGCAGGGGAGTACATGAATTTCTGTACTTCACAAATGAGCTTACAAAGTGTATAATTTCTGTAGCTTCAATCATTTCATCAGGCTCAGTATTAACCATTTTCCACAAATGGAGCTCTATCATAACTTTGGCATTCATAAGAAAGCTCCTTTCTTTGGTGCATTGTATTATGTTGAAAAAACAAACAGGTTAACCAGTTGAAGCTCCCCCTCCCCCCAATTACAGCATTCTTCTCTTTAGAAATGACAAGAGTTTTGATAGCATGTGCTATGTGAATAGTTAACATTTATTATTAATTGATACTCTAATTAAAACCATGCCAGTGCTTTCCATTAGCTTACTCTCAAATTTTGACAGAGCTGTCTGTCTGGTTTTAATCAAAACCAAATGGCAATCCGAGTTCCCAGGCTGGAGCAACTAAGAGGAAATCATTCTGAGGAGGCAGAAGAAAGCAGAAAAGATAAACAGCAGATAGTTTTCCCCAAATCTGTATAGAATGGAGGATGTCGATGTTGTGGGTTGCTTCAGAGATATGATTCAAGCACCCTGTCAGATTGCAAAAGAGTAGTTACAAGTGCTTTATGTCAGCTGAATTGTAATGGGATCAAGATGGAGTCTATCTTCATACTTTCCCAGAGCCTGGAGAATTCTTCATAGAGGTAATGTGGTACATGTACATATGAACTGATTTTAATGCCACTTTTTTGGTGTTCCTGCCATTTCTCTTTGTTTTTATCAGCTCATTAAAAGAACATTGTCATTGAAATTCATCTGCCATATCTGTAGCTATTATCTATCCCTTTTACCTCTTTCTTGAGTAACTCAGCCTCATTCTTTGCTGGTTGTACTAAGTTGCTTTTAAAAGTTTGCTATGTGTACATATTTATATATGAACTGCATATTTTCAGAGTTGTGTTTGCATTAAGGAGCAAGTCAAGGAAATTAATATTTACAATATGCGCCTGTGTTCACGAAATGCCACACTTTTAGAAAATTTGGGAAATTAGGAAAGGCTGTTGTAAATATTGTAAATCAGAGTTTTCTAATGTGTAATCGGATTTTTCTTCCCATTTTGGCTTTCTCTCTCTCTCTCTCTCTCTCACACACACACACACACACACACCCACATGCACACACGTTCACATGCCTAATACTCAACAGCAGGAAATACTTTTGAAGCAATCTGGACCTACTTCTCGGAGGCCCCATCTCACAAAACATCAGCCTGCATTTAGTAGACAAAAGTAACGAGGGAAAGGTTGGTCAAATTCCACTTAGTTAAGGCTCCCTCCAGCTGCAGAACGTGTTTTGGTCAGAATCACACATATAGAGCAAAAGTGCTGAGAATAGAGCAATGATCTCAGCTATGAAATCTGAACTTTATGCTAGTGGTGGCTAAGACAGATTCTGGGTGGGTTCCCCCTTCTCTTCCCTCCCTTTTTGTATACACAGCCAGAGTATTCAGGGAAGTAATTTTGACTATTTCTACCTCCTGGCCACTCTATGAGGTCAACCTAGAAGATTTTTACTTTTTAAAAAATATAACAAAGCTGATCTGAAATATACAGATGTTTTCTGGAATCCGTTAAGCCAAATAACAGGACTCTGTAGTGAATCTTTCAGCGCTGGGGATTTCAACTGTATCACTGGACTGAAAAGAAGTCACAGTAAGTGGAATCTTGCATGCCAACAGTATCTTTAAATCTTTCTGCCTCACACACCCATATATACCTATAATCTAAACCAAACTCTTCTTTTCTTTTTTAAAAAAGCAAATTCCCTATATTTATATCTATTTAGAAATAACATTCACAATGTCTGATCTTTACAATGAATATAAAGCCAAGAAATTAGAATAGACCAATTGTTTATTTGTTTTGCTTTACTACCAGTAAGAAAAATAGGCATTGCAGTAAAAAGCCACACAACCCTTTGGTCAGCATGCTGATTTATGAAACAGATCCCACTGAGTTTAATGAGATGTGCTTCTAGGTAAGGCTGTACAAGATTTCAGCTTTTGCTGTTCTTATCAGCCATCTATCTTCTGACCTTGGTTTTCTCCACCCGCAGCATACCAACCCAAACTGTGATATAAGTCTCTTTGTAATTCAGTATCTGAATGTGAAGTTAACAAATTGATCAGCCTTCACCATCAAATGCAACAATTAACAAGGAATTGTTCTAAAAATACATATAATTTAAGAAATTATTTGTCATGATACCTGCCAATCACTGTTTTTAGGCAGAGAGGAAGGAAGGAACCCTAATATTCTAATACTGCCCATAATACAACCTAAAATTTTGATTCAAAATTCATTTCAGTTTCTTCCAAGTGCAAAAAGTTGTTTATGCCCCAAATGGAGCCATGACAAAATTGTGATTCTTTATCATATATCCTAGCTGCAAAGAAAATGTGTGGAAGAATCCCACCCACTGATTAAAGAGATTTAGCAAGTTATCAAATGTTTGCTGAGGTTTGAGAGAAACTGTTAGATTTAGAAGTAGATTAAAAGCCAATGTTTCTGAGTAAAAATGCCATTTATATCACTCCGTCTCCCTTCCTGGTCTAAAAACAAAAAGATGACAGAAGAAATGTATGATGTTTTCCATACGTCATTAAAAATCACGGTATTGCTTATTGAACAATTATTACCTGACTACAGTTTGGAATCTAAGGACCATAATTTACTACAGTGTTAAGAGGTGCTTAAAGAGATTGTGTTTAATGATATGCTGGACTGGTCACCAAAATGTTTAGCTAAAGTTAGTTTAACAATAGTCTTGATGCTTTTTGCTACTGTCCTACGGAAAAGAGCATAGTAGTAAAAATAATTCCTGTATCATTCTGAGTTTAATTGATACTTATTTGATATTTAGCTCCATTGAAATCAATGGAGATCTGTTTTCAGTAAATTTTTATAAATGAGTATCTTATTAGGGTCATACAGTGTCTGCTTAGCATCCTATTTCCATCAGCAGCCAGACAGATACCTCTGTGAGAGACAGAGATAGCTCTGGCTGACTGTCTCTAGCAGCTGATATCAGAAAAGACCATATATAAAGGTTTTATTCTGCTTTCAGGACTGTTAGAACTCCTGCTTACAGAATCACTATATCTCTATTTCATTGTTTTATTTTATTACTGTTGCCATAAAAGCCAACTTGAAGATTGGCTCTTTATAGAGAATCTGCCATGTACTACCTATCTAGGCTTGGCCACATCCATTGGTAGGGATCACTTAAGGAATGGCACTGCCCATCATTGTCTTACCTACTACGGTCCTAGTCAATATCATCAGTTATGAAAGGTGATATGAGTTGTAGACCAATTAACATCTGGAAGGCCATATACGTACACTGCCCAGAGTCACTTTTGTTGTATACCACCTAGAGTCATTTTTTGTGAGATGGGTGGCCATATAAATTTGATAAGTTTTGTAAGTAAATTTGATAAATTTGACATAAATAAATAAGTACGTATGTACGTATGTATGTACATATTGCTATGCAGGGCTCTGAAGGAGCACTTCAGTTTGACCAAGCTCAAAGTATCTTGCCCAGGTGAAGCAATGTCCTTCTGCAAAGCATCATATCTGAGCAGTTACAGTGTTTCAATGTGATCAGTGAAAGTGAATTGTACAGTATATGTGTGCTGCTCAAGTATGCAATTTGCTTTTGATAAATTAAGGCAAGTGTCAAGTAGGAATGCTCCTTCCTCAATGCTTTGTCCATATGAATAAATGCGCCTTATTGTGGCAAAGTAACTTGTAAAGCAGAAGGACTCACCTCCATGGGACAGAGAATCCTATCAAGGAAGATGCTGCCAACCTGTATATACATGATATGTCTCTCAAACACTTTAAAAATCTTAAATCAATACCACAAATAAACATGTAAGCTCAATGATTGCAAAAGGGCTTAAAACTGACAACTGCACTGTTATGAACAGGTTCACTGCTTGCATGCCAAAGGGGTTATTTGACCGCATTCTAAGGACGGTAAGTTTCATTTCAAATGTTTCCTTTAGCCTTCATGAAATGTTATACTAAAGTCATACAAAATTTAGGGACCAGCATTGGACTTTGGCACTCCATCACAGCAGAGAACAGCACACAGCCAACCTTGACTGTGCAAAAAACTAAGCAGGGTAGATCTGATGAGAGACCAGTAGGACATCCCCTTTACTGTAAGGAAGACTGGGAAATAAAATTCTTGGAAGAAAGCAATAGCAAATCACATCCGTATTGCTACCAAGAAAACTAAACATCATTTTCATATAGACCCCAGGATTTGGACTTCAAGGAGGCTTTACTTTTTTATTACATAAATAATCCTTACGTAAATCCCATGACTAGATTTGCTTAGATCCTTACCCCATTCTGTGCTACTTAGACAGCTTTACACAACAGAACAGTGAATCTTCTATATCACACTTTTTTCTTTCTCCATTTGCCTCCTTTCTTGCCTATTCTGCTATTGGCCTTAGCTTCAGAAATCTTCAATATTTCACATTTTGTAAGCCAAAAAATTGCAATCAGTGGATGCATGCCAACATACTTAACTTGTGTAATTTGTTTTGAATGTACAATTTGGATTTCCTTGAACTGAAATTATTCTGGATTATTTTGGCAATACCTCTACACAGAAAATCATGAAAGCTTTCTTTGTAGGCTGTGTCAAAATGGTGTATGTATCTAATTCAGATTCAGGTATCTAATTTTTAACATGCCTAACCATAACACAAAGATTGACCATAAACTTGATTGTCTGCTGTGTGCTGTGCAAGGCTGTTCCAACAAAAGAAGGATGGCTGAAATGACCCAGAAGGAAGAGGAAAGATCAGCTGTACTAGCATCTCATTTTGCCCAGTGATAGAGCTCATTTTGAATGTATTGCTTCTGTTCCTGAGAAACATTCATATATTATCCTACCAAGGCTTCTGTGCAGTGAAGAGATATAAACTGTGTGAACATTTTCCTGTATACAAGTTCACTGGATGAAATTGAGTGATACAGGAATATTGAGAGACAGTTTGATGTAGTTGTTAAGGTGCTGGCTTACAAACCAGGAGAGTGTGAATTCTAGGCCTCCCTCAGGCATGAAAGCCATCTGGGTGACTTTAGGCCAGTCACTCTCTCTCTCTCAGCCCAACACACCTTATAGGGTTGTTGTGGGGAAAATAAGAGTATTAGGTATGTTCACCACCTTGAATTGACCAAACTATATAAAAAAGATGAGATGAAAATCTAATAATAGTAAGTGAGAAGATTTAGATTAAACAACTTGCTGACAAAGAAGCAGCAACAGAATAACCAGCCTAAATTATAATGGGGGAATGTCGTGGGGAGGGGAAGAGGAAAGAGAAGATTCCTGTTACCTACAGAAGACATCATTTCCACCTCCAGTCTCTACATATGATAATAACTCAAAAAAGTTTGACAAAGGACTATGAAACTATAGAACTGATATCTAGATGGATTGGGTAGGAATAAGAATAAAAAACTGCATTTCCAGAAGCATTATTTCCTGGGCAGTCTATCAGCCAATACAAGTTATTGAAGTTAGAACTTCTTCCTTCCTAGAACTTTTCTTGTTTCCCCAGTATTTATTTCTTCCATATGGTATACAAGAGTTTTCCATGTGAGTGCTGTCATTCATATATAGGTCAACATGTGATATATTGCTCTTTATAGCTAGCAAATAATAAGTATGCTGGTAATTTCCTACAGGTTATCTATATTTTCATTCACACATGGAGACACGCCCTCAGTCCCGTCCATGCCTATTCAGAAGTTTAGAAGGGACTTACTCAGAGATAAATTTGAATTACATATTAAAGCTTCTAATTTTCTATGTTTACTTTTGATATATTGTACTTTTGTCGTTTCCCAATAAAAGATTTTATCTTTGACGTTTGTGAGACTTGGGATAGCTTTTATGGGAATATTCTATCCAACAGAACATTCCTGTAAAATCCTGAGAAACCAGTATTTGTGTGGAAGACATTTCAAAAATTCTGTATGCGTTGCTGGCAGGTATCAAAATATGATAAGCTACTTTTGGAATACTTCACCAAATACAAAGAGGACTGTAAGATGACAATGACTTATCCTAACAAAAATAAGGGATCAGATTCCCATAAGGAAGAAGGAAACTAACAGACACATGGCAAGAACTGGGAAATGAAATCTTGGTTGCTTGTATCTAAAGGAGGGCATTTTTCTGCTGCTATTTTTAAATAGAAATTATTTCAGCAGTTAATGCTGGTGTCAGATATCAGGGTTTAACCTAATTTTCAATTTTTCATGACCTTCCCAGGGTGTTTGAGCAAAGGAATTAAATCTCAGTGTCAGAAGCCAGAAATAAAAGAGAAAGTTATTTCCTTGATGGCTGTTCCCAAACGTCTCCATTTGAAAGTCTAAATTCTGCTCTTTTCTCAGTGTGTTTTTTCCGTCTCAGCAGTTCAGTCCTTTCAAGAGCCCTGTCTCTTAACACTGGCGCTTCTTTGGCGCAAATGAAATGAAGCTTAAGAATCCATATGGCAGTCCACAGGAGGCAAAACAATGGCTCTTTCAACTGGCCATCCTCCCACTGTCCACGCTTTCCACTACACTGTCTTTTCCTTTCTTCTCACAGAATACTGTCTGTCTGGTGAACTTTGTGCTGT